ATTTCTACATAGAGCATAGAGACCTCGTTTATTTGCGCTATATAAATCCATTTATTATTATTATTATTATTATTATTATTATTATTATTATTATTATTATTATTATTACATGTTTAATTTCTGTTTATATCGATTATTTTTTAATTTACCAGAGTGTTTAAGAATTCAGCTCATAAACTTGATTTCTCAGTGCATAATTTTCCAAAAGCAAGTCATTAAAAATTATATATAAATATCTTGCATACCATCTACATTTAATGAGGAAAACTGACCCGTATGTGTCACCACCTCGTAATTGATTGCGCATCAAACGATAATCTTAACCAAGTGTATATTTTAGCGGCTATAAATTGAATTTTACTAATCATCAGGAAAACGCTCTGCTAACTAACAGACGTTTTATCGGCTAAATATTCACTTTATTATATCGCCTCAATCTTAAGTACCAATGTATCTTGCATCACACTTTCACGTCTATGATTGTGTTGAATTCTTATCTAAAGCTTGACGCGTCCACTTACCACCGTTAAAATAATAATGTTACGCACATATTATGTCGTAAACATACGTGAATTTGAATCGAAAATTGACTGAATAAGAATGAATTACGATGTCTTAATCGTAATACTGCATTTGCGATAGCATCCACAGGGAGTTTCCACTTCATCATTCATAATATAATTTTTCATCTCGACTTGGGGAATAGTTATTTGATCCGGTACAGTATTAAGTTGGTTTAAAGGGTCTCTCACATCCTCCCATACACTGCACCATGGTCACACGTGCGTGCAACGTGCTAATGTTATCGTGCGCTCGCCCTCGCTCGTCCAATCAAGAATGGAAAGCAATTTCATTAGGCAAGTATAAAAATTAATTATGAAGCAGAAATTATTTGTGACGTAAGAGGACCACTTTAATTGAAGCATGTATCTTCTTGGCGAACATTATAGATACATCGGCTGAGTAAATCGAACGCAGTAAGTATTAATGATAACTTTGAAATGAAATACTGTAATAACATTTATTTGGCAATACGATAAAATTAATTTTAATAAACCAAACATTATATGAATTGAAAATTTCTTGAAATCAATATATAGATTCATAAATGTTTATAATCTCTCTATGATAACCTACGATAAAGCATAACGACATTGTGCATAATGCAATGCAATATCACAGTGCCCGACACTTGAATGTAAACCCTTATTGCTATATGACGGGGTATGACCGGTACAATCTTAAGTATTTTTGAGTGTGTATATTGGTTTTGCGTTTAACTGGCCCATTATCCCATCGCTATTAATGTTATTATGAGGCAAGATGACGTAAAAGTCGCGTGTACAGTAAACTACAGACAGTGGACGCCGGCTAGATGTAAATGACGCATTACAGCCAATTAATGATTGATATTTCAGGGTGTTTACATTTTTAACAGGCATGTAGGCCTAATAATAAGCAATTAGTATATTTGCGTATCATACACTAGTGGAAATTATTATACGAAGGTTAGATTAATGCATCTAAAGATTTCCAAATTAGGTCCATGATTTCTGGGATATCATAGATTAATCTGTGTTTTTTCCTCTTTGAAAGATAACATTAACCATCTTAGACCTGGAGTAGGTCACTATCCCGTTCAACGTACGTTCCACTGCGCCCACACCCTTAAATCGCCACTGTTCCGTACTTAGTTGGTTTTCATTATGTGACATCGCTTGCCATTGGAAAGAGTCATACATAAGTCAATCAATAAATACATTATACACACTAGATGATATTATACTATACGCCGCAATTCGTTTATACTATCGATTCTTATTTACCATATTTATGACTCTTTATTGTGGTACAGAATGATGATTTAATGTTGTATATTATTATTTCTCTGCATATTTATCTTCAACCGGCTAGTGTAGATGGGATGAGTGCATGTCTTACAAATTGCTGTAACCAATTTGTCGTCGAACATAATAACATTACACCATCATCGATCTTCAATCAATTTCAAATCTCCTTCGGTATTTATGTAGGAGCCTAGCAGACAAGATGTGTATTTAAAAGCAGTCACATTCTATTCGATGGTAATTTCGTAGAAATCGGCGTGTAATGCCAATGCAGAATATTGAAATGTTGTGTAAACTTTAAAACATATAAAACACACGTTTAAAGCTTTAAATATAATATGCCCTAACAAATGTTCACGACAAAATTTTTAACAGCAAAGTTCTCCATTATGCCTTTTTAAGTATGGAAAAAACAACGAATATATTTCATGTTTTCAAAAATGTTTTGTTTAAGAAAAATACAAATGCAAACTTAAACAGCTACAAGAAAAATTCCATTGT